TCCTCTCTGTTCCCCAAACATGCTAGCTCTGGTCCAGCCTCAGTAGCTTCGCACTGACTCAGGCTATTCCCCCTTCCTTGGTCGCTCACTTTGGTCAAACATGAGCTTCATGCTGGAGGGCCTCTGTGCCATTCACTATTAGAAAGTCGGCCTGACGCCTGGCAGCAGAAGATATTTGTTGAGTAAATGAATGGTTCAGAGCATAAGTTTTGGGATCACCAGCAGGGTGGGCCTGAGTCCAGGCGCCACCACCGACTGACTGTGCATCCTTGAGCAAGTTCCTTTACCTCTCTGAGCCTTGGGTTCTTACCAGGACTACCTACAGTAAAACACCTCAAGTCTGGTGCATTGTGAACTCTTGAGAGCAATTTGCAACAAAAATGGGTGTTTTCAAATACTACGTGTAATTGTCCTACCATGATTTAGGAAAGTCTAGGCCAGTCACAGCAGGCATCCATTGCAAGGATGTTGCGGAACAGTCTACAGATACCTACTCACTGATGTCATCACATAGCCACATAATGTATGCTCGTATGCTCCTAGACTCGACAAGATGAGTCTTCTACACCTCTCATGTCTCCCCCAAATTTCATGTCATTGTAAAGGAAAAAGGTAGAAAAACAACATACCTGGCATAAATGCCCCTTTTAAAAATAAAATATATGAATATATACTCCTATGGCAGAGCCTGCCAAATTTACATTCAAATGTTTAGGGTATTTGGGGGGAGCGAAGGAATTGTTGGCACTTTTCATAAGCATCTTTGGCTTTTCCGTGATTGATTCCAATAGCTGACCAGCATTACCTTCACAATCTGAAAAAAAAACCACGTAACAGGTCATTCTGCTCACCCCTCACCTGCCAAGTTCTGGTGGCTGAATTTCTGGGGGCTTCTGTGAAGGCAGCATTGCAAGGTTGGGGTTTGTGCCAGGGCCCCAGAATGAGCCTTGGTTTTCAGTAAACATTTGAGGTGTCTTGTGATCCTGGGGTTTGACAAGACCCTGAGAAGAGTCCTAGATAGCTAAGAAGGTGGTGCTCAGGGCAGCCTGGGGTATCAGTCCTGACAGAAATTTATGAACCAAAGTAATAGCAAGTGACTTTAACTTCAGAAATAGAGTTTATTGGTAGATGGAACTGAAACGTTTAGGGTTTTGGAGCTTCAGGTATGGCTGGATCCAGGTGCTTAAACTGTGCCTTTCAGAATCTTTCAGGTTCTGTTTTCCTAAGGGCAGGCTTTGCTCTGAGCAGGTTCTGATGATCCATCAGGAGCTCCAGGCTCACACTCCAGCAGCTCAGCTGCCCCAGTAAACAAAGGGTTTCTCTCCCAGGGGGCTGCAGAAAAGACCACAGGAGGCTCTGATAGGCCAGACTGGGGTTTCTGGCTCACCCTTGAAGCATGCACAGGGCTGCTAATTGGCTGGTCCTGAGTCATAAGACCATCTAGCCAGCAAGAGAATGGGGTCAGCTCTAGTAGACTGTGCGGTGGGGGAAGGGAGAGAGGGGCTGTTTTCACAGGATAATGGGGAGGCCATTCACAGAGGGCAGAGCTCCACTCCACTAGCTGTGTTGAAGCGTGTGCTACATGAAGCACAGAAATGTCTTTGATCAGGAAATCTGGCTGAATCATAATACCCTACCCTCAGCATTCCAAAGAGCAGAAAACACAGGCCAGGCAAGGGGAAAGGCAGGCAGGGAGGGAGAGGGTTGGCAGGGAGGAGAGTCCTGCCTGGGGAGCAGAAGTCTCAGTTCAAACACTCAGTGAGTGACCTTGACCAAAGAAGCCTCCTGGCCTGGCCTCAGTACCCGCTTCTATGAACCTATGCTGACCTGACCGACACTGGCAGCTTTTAGGAAGGTGCTGTGTGTATTTTATTTTGAATTTTGGATGAAATTATTGGGGGACAGATATCGTTTCCTTTTCACTCCCTGGGAAGTTCTTAATGAATCCATTTTGTTGCTGTGATCCATAACGGGAGGGGAATGATATCGTTTTCCCAGGAGGGGCCTTGTGGCTCAGCACTAAGTGGTGTTTGGAGGCTATTTCTGGCAGAGACTGAGGTAGAAGAAAATGTGGGGGTGGGAGGTGTCAGGGCCACTTGGGGAGGAAACCTGAGCCGGGGGCTCTGCGCCCAGAGTCTGGGAAGAAGGGCTGGTGCTGTGGGTGGGGAGGGGCTGGGCCAGCGCAGTCCCACCCCCAGTGGGCAGCTGGGAAGGGAGCTGGTTGGACAGGAATGTCCCTCCTCCAGCACCTGTCCTCAGTCTTGTTGACCTTTGACCCTATTCCACAAGCAAGGAGGCCCGTGAGGTCCTGTACCTCCAGTGGTGATGTATAGCAACAACTCTGTTTCTAGGGGTAAGCTCAATCAAGCTTCACAACTGTCTTAACTAGGCATGGCTAGTAGCCTCGTCCTGTACATGGGCAGTGTGGATTCAGGGGTGAGTGGCTTGGCCAAGGACAGTCAGTGTAAGGCTGGCCAGGCGGGGCTCTGAGGTCAGGAATGGTCAGCACACAGTGCTGGGTGAGCCAGAGTTGGAAAGCAATGGATGACCTTGAGGAAGGAGATTGGGGATCTGGAAAAGGCAACTCATAATCCCGGCCTTGAAGGGCCTGTGCAGTCTGGGCACAATGAAACACGTAGGGAAGGATCTTCCCGGGGGAAGGAGCGGCATAAGCAAAGGCACTGAGGCAGCAAGTGCAGTGGACGTCTGACCGACCGGGCAAACAGCAGGGTAGGGTTCTGTCAACACTTTGTGAGCCCTGGGGCCACCTATGCAGTGGGCTGGGGACCCTGTCGCTGTGCCCCCAAAGTGCCCTGAGACCTGGAGTCCCCAGCACATTTGCAGGCTCCTGGTCTGGGGAACAGTCTGGCAGCCTTGGGCCCATGGCCGGGCTGGAGGACACGGAGGGGTGGGAAGGCCTGCCCCTCTTAGGCCTACTCAGGAGGCCACCGCAGCCTGGGCGGCTGTGGATGGACAGGAAGCTGGCCATTCCTTCCCGTGAGCCTGAGGAGAATGGCCTCTGTGTGAGCCACAACAAAAAGGCTTTTCTGCCAAGTTGGAGGGGGAGGAAGCAGCCAGCTCACTCCCACCCTAGCCTGAAAGGAGGCTCTGTTGGTGGCCCTGGGGTCTTCCATGAGGAGAATGTGGGGGGGTGGAGCCGGGGTGGCCTCATCCCTGTCCCAGTTCTCCAGCTGCACCAGGCCAGTGGGGGGTGGGGGAGCCTGCTGAGCCAGTCAGCCTGGCTGGGTTCTCATCCGGGGTGCGACCCTGGCCCAGTCTCTACCTCTCTCAGTCCTACTTTTCTCACCAGTAACATGTAAGTGGGGGGCATGTGAGTCACGGGGTCTGGCTCCCACACTGATCACCTGCCAGACACTGTACCAGCACTTCACAGCCACACCCCCTCCACCCTGCAGCCCTCTAGTGAGGTAGGAGCGTCCTCCTGTGCGCTGAGTCAGGTGGAGGCCTCAGTGCGGCCAGCGGGGCCTGGAGGCCAGGCTGCGTCAGGGCCAGAGCCCCAGGCTGTGCCAAGACGAGGGAAAAGGGCTGGGCAGAAACATGCCAAGCCATCAGAGCTGGCAGGGGAACGGAGGAGCCCTGGAGCTTGCTGCTTTTTGTTTATCTGTAATATCTTAATGGGGAATTAGCAAACTGCAAAGGAACAGAAGATGCTGAAGGAATGGGACCCAAGGTGAGTTTAGGTGACAGCCACATTAAAAAACACACAATTGGAAGTTGCAGGCTCCTGTCTGATCCTGAGGGAAGTGGGGTCAGGGTGGGGCTTTCTGGGGGTGTGGGGGGGCCGGGTGGCCCCCTCAGAGACCTCTGTCACATGTCTGGGTCCTCCCACCCCACCCAAGATAAACTGGGTCCCTGAGGTGGGTTGTTCCTTCCTTGCTGGGCTTTCTGCGATTTTACCAGCAAGCATGGGGGCAGAAGGCTCCTCGGGCAGCTTCCTGAGGACCTGGGGTCTCTACTTGGACTCCGAGGAGAGCTCAAGGAAGGCCTCTCATCTTTCTCTCATCCCCGTGGCCCTGCACCGCCACCCACCTGCCTGGTGGCCTCTGGGAGCCCTCAGGGTTCCAATCAAGCAGAAGGCACAGCAGGGTGAGCCCTGGGCTCCTGCGCAGGACAGCTGGCCAGCTGCGCCAGCCTGGACCCCCATGCTGAAGGTTAAGGCCCCGTGGTGGGGGAGCTCAGTGCTGTTTCCTCGCTGAGGCTGTGGCCTCTGGGGCTTCCTACTCTCCTCAGCCAGTTTCTACACAAAGAGAGGAAAGGGTGGGGTGAGGGGGCCTGGGGAGGGGGTGTACAGCTGTGGGGGAGGGTGGTGCCTGCTCACGTTGTTGTGGAAGCCCTGCTTGGCTGGGATGGGACCCCACAATGGCCGAGCACTGCATTCCCCGGGGCTGCAAGCCAGTACCCCCAGGAAAGACATGGGGACCAACGGGTGCCAGCCCAGCCCAAACCCAAGGGGCACAGCGCCTCGGTCCCTTGCTTTCGTGGCCATCAGCTGTGCCCTGCCCAGGTTGGTTTCCTGAGTTTCTGCTTCTCCAAAGAGGAGAGGGCTGATCTCGGGTACCCCTGCCCCTGTGAGCAGTGTGTGGTGAAGGCAGCGTCCATCCAAAGCAGCTTGCTTGCCCACCCGGCTGGTCTTCAGGTCGCGCACCCGCTCCCTCCATGCCTAGTCTGCAGCCTATGGAAGCAGGTGCCCTTCCCCACCAGGAGCAGCTGCACCTTCCCACCCCCTCCCTGCCCTCCCCAGCATGGCCTCCAGGGCTGCCTTGCCCTGCCCTCTCCCGGCTGCCCCTCCCAGGGCCTTCTTTCCAAAGGCCACTGGGAAGGACCCCACCGCCACGCTGGGAACAGGTCACTTTTGTGTGGGACGCAAATGCCCTAACCATACATGGTCTCCCCCACCCTCTCCCGCGTGCACACCCCCCCCCCCCACACACACGCATGGCTGTAAGCTCCAGCCCAACCCTCTCAGGAAGGAGGCACACTCACCGGCCATACGGTTTAATCAGTGCAGATTATTTACAGGAAGAAACGTATAGGGTGGACACTGACCTCCCTCCACCCTTTGCTGGCTCTCAGGTTCTGAGGACCAAGGGGGAGGAAGCTGCTGGACCCGCACTGGGTGTAGCCCCTGAGGGGGCCTCCGCCCAGGGGCCTCAGAGACTGGCTGGCAGGTCCTCTTTCTGCTCAGGGTTCCGGGGAGATGGGGTGGGGGGGATCAGGGCCGGCTGTACAGTACCATTTCCCACAGCAGCCTCGCCTCCCACTTACTTTGGGCAGGAAAAGAGGGAGGAAGTGTCTCTGCCCTCACAGTTGAGCCGAGAGGAGGGAAGTCTCCATGGCCCGGCAGCAGTGGGCTCCTTTGGGGGTTCCACAGCCCCATCCCATAGTCCGTGTGGGGGGTGAGAGCCTGGCCTCTGCCCACTGTGTCCCCCCCTCCCTGGGGGCAGGGGGAGGAAGGGAGGAGCCCCTACACTGTGGGCACCCACAGCCCCCCAGGAGAGAGCCAGGACACTGGCAGGCTGGTGGGGTTCTGAGGATGCCGGTGTGGGTGCGAGAGGATGGGCAGAGGCCGGGAAGAGCCCAGGTGGGTCAAAGCTCAGCGAGGAGAAAGAAGACGGGGCTGAGGCTCTGCTGGGGGCAGGCTGTCCCTACCCTTGGGGGAGGGGCCTTGGCAGACCCCCTTTGGTCCTTGGTAAGGCAGGCCCAGGGCCCCTTCTCCAGAGAGGGAAGGAGGTGTGGGCTCAAGGGGTATGCAGGAGAGGGGCCGCTGGCCCCTCCGCTGGCTGGGCTGGCATGGGGTTCGTAGGCACAAGAAGCTGGGTTGGAGGGCTGTCAGAGGTGGGCTGGGAGAGACCCAGCTGACATGGGCTCACAGCCAGCGGACCACCTCCCCCGCCCAGGCCCCTCCAGCACGGGGTTGCCCCTGGGCGAAGCACTGGCTAAGGCAAGAGAGACTCAGGGGGGTGAGGCCCCACCTGTCTCCCAAGCCAGCAGAACCCCGACAGGGGGAAGAACCTTGACAACCCTCCGGCCGCTTTTCCAACTGGGCCTGGGTCCTCTCTGGCTGTGGCCAGGCCAGGGTGGGTGGGGGGCCTAATTCCCTGTGTGGAGCAGAACTGCCTTTAGCAAGCTCTACCCTGTCCTGAGGGACCACCCCGGTCAGCAAAGTGGGAACAACGCTCAGTTAGTGTGCAAAAGAGAAAGATACCGGGCATAAATAAACAATGGGAATGGGGGCAGGACTGACGGGGGATGCTGGGGGCCTGAAGGGGCCCCCACTGGGGCTGAGAGAGGTGCCCCAGGAGCCATCTCAGAGCCACAGGTGCCACCAGCCTGGCCCTTAGCACCGTGAGGAGCAGGAGGGCGCGGGTCAGACCCACTCCTGCAGGGAGCGCTTGCAGTAGAGGAGCGTGCGGGGCGCACCCTTGCGTTGCATCTGCACCAGGGCATAGGTGAGGCCCAGGGTGCACAGCAGCAGCAGCAGAGGAGGCACCAGCACCATCACCATATTCACAGTCCGAGTCACCTCCTCCATTTGCACCACCACGCGACTGTCCCCGTCCTTGCCGCCGGCCCCTGCCCCAAAGTCCCCCTCCCCTCCACCAGGGCCGGGCTCCACTTCGTTTCCCTCGTTGCCCTCTGCCCCCGGCTCTGCACCCCCGTTGGGGTTGAAAGGAGGTCGGGCCACGTCGGGCCAGCGGGACCCTGGGTCCAGGTATTCTTGGCAGCCCATGAAGTCCCGCAGGATGGACTTGGGGTAGCCAGGCTCCATTCGCAGGCGCTCGTTGTCAAACTTCCAGTATTTGGTGCCTTTGTAGAAGTAGGTATAGGCTGAGGGGGCAAGCAGGCCAGAGTGGTGTCAGGCCCTCCTGCAGGGACCCCGCTTTTAATAGACCCTTTCTCCCTCACTCGAAGACCTGAGCATTTTCAAAGGTGCCTCTTCCCAGCTTACAGGGCCGAGACCGGGCTTGGAGCAGGCGGGGTAGGTAGGGTGAAGGGCATGACTGGACCCTGGTCTCCCGGACACTGACACTGTCTGAGGCCGGGGCGGTAGGGTCCTCCAGCATGGGAGCTGAGGCTGCAGCCAGGGGAGCGTGCTGCTGTCTGAGGGCCCGCTCCACCCCACACCAGAGACCAGGGTCTCGCTCAAGGCCACAGAGCCCTGCCGCAGGGGACCTGGAGGGGAGCCCCACACTGGCTTGGCCTGGCACTCTGGACTTGGGCAAGTGGCCACGGCCCATCAGCATCAGGAAGGGCCAGGCTGAAACTGCAGGTTGAGTCTGCGCCACTGGGCACGAGACCACAGCGGCCACAGACACCCCCAAACGCAGGCAGAGCTCACAGGGTCTCCCTGTTAGCCCTGAGAAGCAGAGCTAATGACAGGCTTGTGGAGACCCTGCTGGGAAAAAAGTGACAGCTCCCTGCCGCTGGGTGTAATGACAGAGATGGGGCGTCCCTGCCAGGTGGAAGTAGGTGCTCTGGGAGGACTGTCGCGCCCCTCTGGCCCAAAGAGCCCTGCGGGCTGACCAGGGTGACTGGATGCTTTGGGGAGAGGGCCCAAAGCTCTGGACACAACCCAGCTCTGGGCTGGCCTCCTGGCTCCACACGCCCTGGCTGTGGGAATGGGGCGCTTGACGTAAACTCTCTGGCCTAGTGCGTCATCTGGGAAAAAGGACAGTGACGATGCAAGGGCAGGAGAGTCGTGTTCTGGGAGCTGCCCGGCCAGGCCCTGACACAGCTGTGTCGCCATGTATCCAGGTGACCTTGGGTGAAGCCCTGCGCCTGCATGGGAGTGGGGTGGCGAGTCTGGGAGGGGCTGGCTCTAGTACCTGCATCGTTGCTCAGGAAGGCCCCTTTGGGGGAGACGGGGACGCCCTGCCAGACACTGATGGGCTTGGGGTAGCCGGGGTCTCCACGCTGCGTTTCCTCGTTGAAGCGCCAGTACCTGCGACCAAAGCACCAGGTGGTGGGCCCGCGGGACCTGGAGCTATTCCACACAGGCCATGGGCTCTGCTAGGGTATGCCCTGTAGGGGCAGGGGCGCTCGCTCACCTGTCCTCTTGGAAGAAGAAGGTGTGACCTGTGGGCTCCCACCAGATGGCTGTGTCGATGCGGTCATAGGGGATGCCCAAGCCATAGCTGGTCAGTGGCTGTGGGTAGCCGGGCTCCAGGTTTGCTTCCCGGAAGAGCCAGTATCGATCACCTGCAGGGAGAGCAGACGGTGGGGTGAGGGCAGGCTGGGGGGTTCACGGAGGCTAGTCTAGGCCCACAGATCCACTCACACCCGCTTGCACGCACAGAGTTCTTGTGTAGGAAAAGGAAAGAGGGGCGCTCTACCTGACCTCTGAGTCTGGGGGCTGCTTCTCTGGGCCATGCCTTAGCCTAGGGCTCTCCACTTTTATTGTGGGCCCCGTCCTGTCCTTAGGGAGTGCCTGGACAGTCTCTCAAGCTGAGGCGCTGGAGACACAGCTGCCTTGGAAACTCTCCCAGGGGGCAGCCCCTGGGGTGGAGGGGTGGGGGTTTGGCATCACTGCAGACAGACCACAGAAAATCCTGCCCCAGAGCAGGCTGGGGAACCCCTTGCAGAGGGGCTATGGGAGGCAAGGAGGGAGGAAATGATAGGGAGTCCTTGGGATGCAGAAGAGGGAGGTAACTCTAGCTCCCAGTTCCCCAGTTTCTAGCTGCCTGCCTCACCCCTGCCTTGCTTCCAGGAAGACCACTCCCCAGAACAAACCCCAGTGGGCAGCTGGACACACCATGCAACCCAGCCCTCCTCCTCCTCCCTGACCCAGCTGGGTCAGAGGTCAGGGCAGGAAGGCTGCCTAGCCCTACCACTGACCCCAGCTCACCTTTGAAAAAGACGAAACGCCCATCCTGGCGCTCATAGGCAGCACTGATGTCGCTTGGCAGTCCACGCCAGAAGTGCCCGATGGGCATGGGGTAGTTGTCCAGGACCCGGTTGTGCCGGACCCTCCAGAACCAGCGGCCCTGGGGAGGGCGCGTGCGTGAGTGGGCGGAGCATGCACACTGCTTGGGCCTGACCCGGCTGGCACAACCCACCCCTTTCCGGGTCAGGGAGGGCCGGGAGCCCCCCGATCCTGGGAGGCGGCTTAGGACACCAGGCAGTGGTAGGAGGAAGCCCTGGGCAATGGGGGCACAGACCCAGGCTGGCTGGTGACCCTGGGCCAGTCTCCCATCCCGCAGGCTGGCTGTTTCTGTCTGGGGTTTGATGGCTCCCCTGGGATGCTCAGCAATGAAAGGATGGAGGGGGGGCTGAACAGCCTCGGGGAGCAGGGCTCTGGGAGGGGGGGGGTGGTTCCCCTGCTCTGAGGCTGGGCAAAGTGGCTGGGGTGGGCAGGGGCCAGACCTTGAACACGAACATCTCCCCACGAAGCATGGCCACCGTGTCGAAGTCCCCGTCACAGATGTTGGGTCCATACTGGTCAGGCCGCTCTGTGGCCCGGGGCTGGACCGGAGGGCCTGGTTTGGGTGGCCGCTCTGGCCTCCCTCCTGGGGGTGGTGGCTGGGGCGGCCGGGGAGGCCGATGGTCTGGCCGGCCTGGCCTCCGGGGTGTCACTGTGGGAAGGGGCCGGGTGGGCTGTGGCTGACCATCTGGGGTGCCTGCAGGGCAAGGGGGGAAGAGGGAAGTGAGGGAGCTGCCCTGGACCAAGCCAGGATACCAGGTTCTTCTTCTCAGAACCCCACAATTCTGGAGCCCTTCGCCTGGAGGAGCCCGGCCAGTGAAAGACCCCATCTTTCTACAGCAGGCCTCCCCAAACCCCAGGAGACCCACCCTCCACCACACACACTCCACACCAGGCTCTGGCCTCTCGCCCGAGGCTGCCCCTGCCTCCACTTCCAGGGACACCTTCAGCCCGCTCTCTTGGGGTGCGGGAAGCAGCAGGCACACTCGGGGAAAGAACAGGGTGCAGTGTCTGCAGGGCCCAGGTTTGTGGGGATACGGGGACTGAGCGTCCGTGACGTGGGCTTGGTGTGGGCACTGAGTGCAGGCAGGCCCTGGCCCTCGGAGTCACCACTGGAGGCTTTCTTGGGTGTGGGACGGGAGGCACATGCCCCACGGCCACTGGCAAGCAATAAACAACCACACGGGGTGGGGGCTTGGGGCCCCGGAGCCCCCTTGATGGAAAAGAGTATCGGTGAGGCTGAGGAGGGAAGGAGGTTAGTGAGGGGCCCTGGGACCACCTGTCTGCTTGAGGGCCCCAGCTTGCAACCCCCCGAGGGTGAGCACCGGACCCTGAGGGTGACCAGCCCTGGGGTTGAGTTCTAGCACCTTCTTCCATTCACTGAGTGACAGGGACAAGTCACCAATCCTCTCGGGCCTCAGTTTTCTCTTCCACACAACGGGGAGAGCAGTAGTGTCAGGGGGTGGAGGCATGCAGGGACCGCAGGACTCCCGGGCTCCCCCCTCACCGTAGAGCTGCTGGATACCCCTGAGGTCGTCCTCGGGCAGCTGGAAGTTGTCAGTGTCCATCCACTGGTAGAACGGAGCCATGATGGCGCTGGGGTTGCTCGAGTGCTCCAGCCCCAGCGCATGGCCCAGCTCATGCACGGCCACCAGGAAGAGGCTGTTCCCTGCAGTGCGGGCGACAGCGCAGGGTCAGTGCTGGCCTGTCTGGGACGGGCCACCCCTGGCCCTGGGCTGAGGCTTCCAGCGCCTGCCCTCACTTCATGCTGAGGCCTGAGCTGCTCTCACTTCTGGGCTTCCAACCCTCCCAGCTGAGAAATGGGGTCCACGATCCCTCCACTTCTCTACCTCCCCCAAATGGTGCAAGGACAGGCCGACAGCAAGTGCGAGCACTCCAGAGGACCGGCCAGGGGCAGCCCGGCCCTTGCCCTGGCCGGCTGTTCTCACCATGCAGGTCAGTGCTGGAGAAGGTCCAGGGCTCATCCGCATCGAAATGGGTATCTCCACCCAGACCAGGGCCGGGGAAGTAGGCGTGGGCCAGAAAGCCGCCCGTGCCGTCGAATGGCGAGCTGTCGCCGTGGAAGCCAGAGGCAAAGAGGACCATGATGTCGGCCTCCTTCTGCCGCCGCAGCCGGATGTCCTCATAGGGCACCTCTTGGAAGGCCAGGGGCGTGGCCTGCTCCCACACACGGAAGGCCCTGCGCACGGCCTCCAGGGAGTGGTACCAGCCCAGCTTCTCTGTGTAGTTCTGGATGCTGCAGGGGTGGGGGGACACTGCAGTGAAATCGGGGCCCGGCCCGGGGCTGCTGTCCACTGGAGGACCTCCACGGGGATGGGGACAGGGATGCCCGGCTCCCAGGAAGCCCAGTCACATCAGATCCCTTTCACAGACGCGCCGGTCGCTACCAGCCGTTTGCTCCCTTTGATGTGAATTTGGAAAAGAGATGTGAAAAGAATCCTTATCAAGAGGCACAGCGAGATCTTTTCACTGAGATACAATGGCTGGTACTTGTTTCAAAAATATCTGGGACTGAGGAAAAATGGACAGGGGTAGAAATGAAAGGATGGGCGGAGAGTCAGATGTCAAAACGGTGTAGCAGGCACGTTCGTGGGGTCATTGTGTGACTCGCTTTCCTTTCGATACGTTTGAGATTTTCAGTGGCATGTTAGGTATTTGTTTAAAAAGTTTTCCTTGGAATAAAAGAGAACATGTCAAAGCCTGCTGTTCATTAGGATGGCACTAAAATAAGGTTGCTCGGTGACAAACAAGCTTAGTCTAAGAAAGAAAAACATAAAGTAAATCAGAGTACAGCAGCAGGCAGCCGAGAGAAAGATCTAGAAAGTGGCTGAGGTTTGGGAAACCAAGCATTAGGTTGAATGTTGGGCTCCAGGGTCCAGCTGACCTGAGCCCAAGACCTGTGTGACCCTAAGCAAGTGACTTCGTCTCTCTGAACTTTAGGTCTTCATTTACAAATGGGGCAAAAGGGGGTACGCTTTACATCCTGGTGTCCCCTTGAGGACCGAGCAAACTGCCTATGGAGAACACATGCCACCGAGCTTGCACACGAGCAAAGAGCTGAGGCCTGTTATTAACCAGATAAATCAGATTACGCTTCTGTGTGCTGGGCAGGTCTCCACGAAGGCTGCTGGGTCATGAATTCTCCGGGGCCTGGAGTCTAAGTGACGGGAGCTCTTCCTCGGTGTGGGGGGCTGGGGCAGGAGAGGGAGCCCCTGGGGACTACTGCATGGCTGGAGGCTTAGTAGTGTTTCTCACCCAAGGAAGCACTCAGCAGAATGGAAGAAAGTGCCAGAACCAGGCGGACTTGCTGCTGCTCACCTGACTGAGGCCTCAATTCATGCAGCCAGTCTTACCCCAACTGTCCAGCGCAGAAAGACCCATGCCCTGAGCGGGGAACTCACCCACCTGGGCAGGTGAAGAGGGCCCTGGGCTGCAGCAGGAGGGAGGGGAGAGGGGAGGAGGGCCAGGGCAGAAGTGGCCCCAAGGGGCCAGACTTTCTCTGGAGATGGCCTTAGTGTGCAGGCAGTCTGGGCAGTGTGGAGTCAGTCTATGCCGGGCACCCAGGGTGGGCTGCTGGGAAGCCTGAGGCCTCAGCCCAGGGCGGGAGAGGGGCCAGTTGACAAAGAAGCTGTGGGCGTGGGGGGGCGGGGTGGCACCCTGGGTCACCAGTCCCTACCTGAAAGTCAGGTGGTGGTTGTTCCACTTTCTCCCAGTGAGGGCATAGCGCTTCCGCCGCCTGCGCAGATTGGCTTTGACGTGCACCCCAAACTGGTCTGGCACCCCACAGCGGGGCCGCTTCATCCACCTGGGTCACAGACATGGTGGGGTAAGCACAGAGCCTTCCCTCCTATCTGCCTCTTCCAGGCAGTCCTCCAGCTTCCAGGCCCCGCCCACCCCCAGCTGCCCTATGTCTCCGCCCACCCCCGGCCTCCAGGGGCCCTATGTATGGGCGTGGTGGGGAGCAGAAGACTACATTTTGATGCCCTCATCAGGAAAATGGGTCCAATGATCTGGGTACCCAGAAGTGGCTCCACAGAGGCAAACCCTTTTCGTCAGCGGTGCCCGGAAGGGCAGTGGCACTCCTAGGCCCTTGTCCTTGACACATTACACTCTGTGCGTGCTCATCAAGGACGGGGATTCGGGCCAGCTCGGTTTCACCGGGATGTCCGGTCCAGGTCATGTGTGATGTGCCCCCCGGCCCCTTTTCTTGCCTGTGGCAGGCATCACTAATCAATCCTGTGCTCCTGCGCTCAGGACCTTTCTCAGCACGAGGCTCTAGGCAGCCACTCCAGCCTAGAGATTTGTCATCTCTTTTCGGGAAACTCCCTATGCCGAGCCCTTGTCACAGGAGACCAGAAGAGGGCAGGGGCCGGGGGGCTTGGGGCGGGCAGCGCAGGGACTCACGCCTTGGTCTCTTCATCAAGCACACCCGTGACCGGGATCCCATAGAAGCGCTGCATCTCCGCGAGGGCCGAGGCCAGGATCTGGGCTGAGCGCATGGTGGACATGTGGCGGCTGGGCTGGGGCAGGTAGCCATAGAGCCGAAGCCAGTTCTGCAAGGGAGACCGCGGCCCAGTAAGCAGTCCTGGCACCGCTGGCTCCAGACACAGCCTGCACGGCCACTGCTCGCCACCTCCCACCGCGGTGGCCGTGAGCCCGGTGCCACTCTCCGGCCTCTGCCTCCCACGTCTGTGCTCACACAAGAGCCAGAACAACAGGCCTGCACCGTCCGGTTCGACCAGGTTTCTGCTTCAAGCCCTCCAAAAGCATCCCATCTCTGAGGGAAAGCCCAGTTTTACGGCAGCCATCAGGTCCCCAGTGATGCTCCCCCTCAGCTCACACCTGCTGTCTGGCCCAGACAAGCACTGCTGTGCCTGCTGCTGGAATGCTCTTCCCCAACATCTGTAAGGCGCACACCCTTGTATTCGTCAGGTCTCGGCTTCAGCGTCACCTTCTTGGAGAGCTGTTTTCTGAAAACCCTCCAGACGGATCACTGGGGACCCTAAATGGCTCAGAAACACCCGAGGCCTCCCCAAGTAGGAAAACCAATCCCTTTACTGCTGCCCCAAAGACCCCAACCTCTGGAAGGAGAGCCAAGGGATTCGGGCAGCCTGCCCAGGCCTGAGTCGGGGGACAGGCCTGAAGTCCAGTCCCTGCTCTGCCACAAATGCTTTGTTCTCTTTCATCTGAGTTTCCTCGTCACTAGACAGTGACTAGAGGGGCTGCAGAGGGAGAGATCTGGGAGACAGTCCTGGCAAGCATCCAGCACCCACCTACCCTCCGCTAGGCCTGTCAGCTGGGGGCTGGAGAAGACCACGGTGAAGGTGTCCTGACCTCCCAGACTTGCAACCTCCTGGGGAGACAGGTGCACCCAGAGTGAGGAATTCACAACTGCGAGCATGACCGTCGCGTTGGGGGATGGGACCCCCAATGCACCCAGCTGTGTTGTGGTAAGAAAGGTGACTGTCCTGCTTGCTACCTGCTGTTCCCAAAACCTCTAAGGCCTGCTCTCTGAAGGCTTCTGGAAGGTGTGGGCTGCATGTCAAGGACCTGGAGGCAGGATGGTGGCCTGGCCCTGGGGTGATTGTGGACTGCCAGCCATGTGTCAGCTGATAGGGTCCCGCCCACATCTGTCCGCCACCACTGTCCCAGCTAAGCCCCCAGGCTCTTGCAACCTAGTGTAGCGCACACGCACTTTCTCTTTCTCTCTCTCTCTCTCTCTCTCTCTCTCTCTCACACACA